AACAATGTATGAAAATTCCAGTTGCTCCACATTCTTGACAATTGGGATTGTTTCCATCTTTCATTTTAGAACTTCTGGAGGGTAAATAAGGATATCACAGCAGTTTGAATTTTCCTGATGACTAATGATATTGAGTATTTTTATATCTGTTCATTGGCCAGGTATATATATTTTGTGAAATACCTGTCCAATTAATTTGCCCATTTTTATCAGGGTTTTATTCTTTTATTATTAAATTGCAGGATTTCTTTATACATTTTGGTTACCAGTCTGTTGTCAGATAACATCGGTTTTACATATGATTTTATCCAGTTTATAGATTGCCTGCTTAACAGTGTCTATTTATAAGCAGTAGTTTTCTCAACAGTGTCTATTTATGAGCAGAAGTTTCAAACTTTCATGAAGTCTGATTTATCAGTTTTTCTGAGTCTTGTCAAAGAAAACTTTGTCTATCCCTACGTCATAAAGATACTCTCCTATATTTCTATTGAAAACTTTATGGTTTGTGTATTGTATAAAGTGGTAAAGTCCTTTTCTTCACATGAATAACTAATTATTTCAGCAACCTTAGTTAAAAGACTTTTCTTTCTGCATTGAATTGCTTTGGTTCCTCTGTCAAAAATTAGTTGGCCAGTAAAGCGTGTTTCTGAGCTTTCTGTTCTGTTCCATTAATCATTTTTTGATGGTTATGCCAGTACCACATTGTCTTAATTGCTTTAGCTTTAAAATGAATCTTGAAATCAGACAGTGTAAGTCATCTAACTAACTATTCTTCTTTATCAAGATTGCTTTATCAAAAAAAAAAAGATTGCTTTATCAAAGTATTCTAGGTTCTTGCATTTATATATAAAGAGTAGAGTCATTTTTTCAGTTTCTGCAAAAGTCTTTCTATTGTGATTATGTTAAATCTATTGGTCAGTTGGGAGAGAATTATCGTCTTGACAACATTGTATCTTCATATCCATAAATACCCATTGATTTGGGTCTTCTTTATTTACTCTCAGCAATGTTTTATAGTTTTCAGTGTAAAGTCTTCTATATACTTTTAAATCAAATCCTCAGTATTTTTTTCTGATAATCTGTAAAGACTTTCTTAACATTTTACTTTCCAAACATTTGTTGCTAGTATATAAATAATAAAATTAATTTGTGTATATTTACCTTGAATCTTATGAGCTTTCTAAATTCACTTATTAGTTCTAGTCGTTGTTTCATAGATTTATCAAGATTTTCTATGTAAACAATCACGACACCAGCAAATAAATACAATTTTACCTCTTCCTATCTGTCTGCATTTTTTTAATTTTTGTTTTCTGTCCTTTTGCAATGGCTATAATCTCCGCACAATGTCGAATAGGAATGGTGAGAGAAGCCCTCTTTGCCTTGTTTCCAGTCTTAGTGAGAACATGTTCAATATTTCACCAATAAGTATGATGTTGGATATAGCTTTTTAACAAATAATCTTTATCAGATTGAGAAGTTTCTCTTTTATTACTAGATTGTTTTATTACTAGATTAGTTACTAGATTGTCTTTATCATGGGCTGTTCACTTTTTGTCAAGTCCCTTTTCTCTTTAATACATGTTTCTTCTTACTTCTGTTAATGCAGTGGATATACTGTTGGATTTTTAAGTGTTAAACCAACTTTATATTTCTGAAATAATTCTGAGATAATAAAAAAGTCATAATGTATTATTCTTTTCATATATACTACTGGATTTCATTTGCTCATATTTTGTTAAGGGTTTTTGAGGCTCTGTTCATCCAGGATTTTTTGTCAATAATTCTCTTTCTATCTTCCTTTAATTTTTTTTTAGAGCAAGAGGAAATATTTATCAGATTTGGGCATTATAGTTTCATAAATGAGTGTAATAAAATGAATTAGAGAGTGTTTCTTCCTGCTTTATTTTCTGAAAGTGTTTGTAATCAATGTTATTTCTTATTAAATATTGAGAGAATTCACTTGAGAAAATGTTGAGACCTAAATTTTTCTTTGAGGGAAGACATTTATTAACTTCTTTGACCCCACATTTACGTGGAGAATTTGGTATGTTTTTATTTGTGTGTTGGGGAAGGGGGTTATTTTAAAATCTACTCTTCTTTTTTTTTTTTTTTTTTTTTTCAGCTTTCTATTTAATGAAGCTCTGCTCTACTGAGGTGGAATCCCTTCCAACTTTTCCTGCCTTATTCTCTGACATTCAAAACCAGCCAAACACATGAAAGTCTGCAGTGTCCGGCAGGCCCTGCTGCTCAGTCTGTCCTGTCTTTGTCCTCATCACATGACTTTCCCTGTAGTATCTATTCCTCCCAGGATCCATGTATTAAGGTCCCAACTTTCTACCCTGTCATTTTACAAAACATATGATCTCCAACAAATATATTAAGGATGGCAAGATTTGGCTGCCTTAAAAAGCAAGGCTCACAGACTTGAAAGACGGCCATCCAACTTTTTAATTGCTGCAGATGCTATGTCTCTGAGCCAATGCAAAGAGAGGGAGAGGGAAAGTGCGTCTCCACTTTTACGATAGCAGGGCTGCACTGTTTCTGTGTCTTCATTAGAGAGGTTAATTGGAAATCAAGAGAGGCTGTGTCAGGGGCAGCATTAGCTAGCCAGATGCCATTTTAAACTGGAATTTATCCAGCTGATTTCTTTGGAAACCTACCATGCTTTGCTCAATAGACACACTGCGGACTGGCACCAAGGAAATGACTGGTACGTAAGCAGACATTCAGCATTTAATAGTTCATTTTTCCCTTCCTCTGCTCCTTCAGCTGATCATGTCCTCAGCTACACTCAGAAATGAGGGATTCCCTTCACTTACGAATCAGTAAGGGTTGAGAGCAATGGCTATGGGGTTCTGACTGAGTCTTCCTCAACTCATCTGCATTCCTGGTTTCTGCAAAGTTTTTATAAGATCCTGGAAATACCAGGCTACTTGAACCCATTCAGTTTTCTCTGGCTCATGTGCCCCAGCCATCAGCAAAATAAAACTTGGATGTGAGATGTCAATGAAGGAAAGAGAAGTATGGTCCCTTAACTGCTACAAAAAAATATGCAAGTGAGATAGTAGGGGTATGTGATGAAAGGGATGAGGGGCAAAAAGGGTCTCCCTCCAGGCCTAGGAACATTCTGAATTTGATGCTTTCCTTTGGATTATAATTCCACAAAACACAATGCCAAATGCCATAACTCCAAATGTTGAAATCCTTGAAGTCTACATTTCTAAAGTCTAAAATCCCTAAGGTCTAAAATCCCAAAAATCACAATCACAGAATAATTGCATCAGGTTGGGGAGAACAATTACTTTGTTAGTGTTACTTTGTTTGGAAATTAAGTATGGTTTAAGGAGATGCATATGGGTGCCAAGTTAACAAGAGGTGGACTTGTGAATTTAATTTTAGGTGTCAACTTGGCTGGATTAAGGAATCCCTAGAGACCTGATAAAGCATTATTTTGGGAGTGTCTGTGAGGATGTTTCCAGAGGAGATGAATCTGAGTCTGAGTGAACTCTGTAGGGAGGATCTGCCCTCAACCTTGGCAGGCACCATCCAGTCAGCCAGAGCAGAGAAGGCAAATTGATTTCTCTCTGAGAACTGGGGAAGACTCTCTTCTGCTGCTTTGGATATCAGTACTCCAGGCTTGCTGGCCTGTGGACTTCAGATGTTACATCTACAGCCCCCCAGGTAGTGAAGCTTCAGTTATTGACTGATAAACCACAAGTTTCTCTGGTTCTTAACGTAAAAACATTTAAATTTCCTGCATAGAATAAGAGATGTCATTTTTGTTCACCTTCATTTTTGAAAGCTAAAATTTCTTGAGATATCAGCTCTTTGCAAGACTGCATATGCAGTGGTGACCCATTGAGGGTTTTGATCAGTCTCATCAAAATACAAGTTGTCTGACCCAGTATTTCAAGTGACCAGTTATAAAGCTGGGTGCAGGCAACTACCAACCATGATTATATGCATTCACACATTTCACTTTTTGATCTATTTCTTTATGAATACAGTTTGTCTGATCATAACTGTTACACTCCTACAAATGTTTTTAGTATACCTGGGTGTTTATGCTTATAAAAAATGTATGTTATTATTCCTTATTTTATTGCATAAATTGGCCTATGAAGTGTTCTGTCATGTTTTTATATGTTTCTCAAGGAAAACCCTTTTTAAATGTAAATAAAAGGTTTTTAAATAATTTTCTATTATTTCTTCCAGAATTGTATTTTCAGGATTTTGACCCTTTGGGATTTCAATATTTGCAATTAAGGCATCAAGATTGTATCTTCCAGGATTAGGATCAGCTTCTGAATGCTTACAGTCTAATGCCAGGGAAGAAAGCTAACGGCCAAAATATTTAAATAGCTTAGTCTTTGGATGAACAACTAATTCAGCTATTTGAGTTGCTAATGTCAAAGCCAAGACCAGATTTCCAGGAATAACATTCCTGAGAAAACTTGCTCAATTTTTAAATGTATTTTTTAATGATCATGTATTGACAGAACAGAACAAGGATTTTTTTTTAATTGATGTTGAGAAAAGAAATGGTTTATCTATACCTGTAATGTCTAACATGGTAACAACTAGCCCCATGTGGCTATTAACCCATATGAAATGTGGCTAATCTAAATTAATATGTGCTATAAATATAAAACACACACCAAACACACATACAAAGACTTAGCATGAAAAAAGGAATGTAAAGTATCTTATTAATAATGTCTCTTAGAAGTTGCATGTTAAAATAATCATATTTTAATTTATTGGATTAAATAAAATGTGTTATTAAAATTAATTTCAGCACTTTTTTTTTACTTTTTCAATGTAGTTCCTAGAAAATTTTAAATTACATGCGTGGTTCATAGTATATTTCTATTAGGCAGCTCTAAACAATTAAAATATGTCAAAGTGTGAAAAGTTCTTGGGCATGTATGTTAGTTCCACGGCTGCCATAGCAGAGGACCACAGGTTGACATAAATAATAGAAATGTATTTCTCACAGTTCTGGGGGCTGGAGTCTGAGGTCACGGCATTGGCAGGGTTGGTGTCTTCTGAGGCTTCTCTCCTTGGCTTGCCGAAGGCCACCTCCTCCCTGTGCCTTCACACGATCTTCAGTGCCTATTTGTGTCCAAATTTCCTCTTCCTATAAAGACATCAATCAGACTAGATGAGGGCCCACAGGAAAGAAAGTTCTCATTTAATCTCAATCATCTCTTTAAAAACCTTATTGCCAAAAACGGTTACATTTCGAGGTACTGGGGGGTTAGGACTGCAAGAATAGGACTTTGCGGGGATGCAAGCCAGCCCATAACAGCATGACATTGTCCTGGGTTTGCAGCGAACTTGTGTTCAGTATTTACCAGCTATATGATCCTCAGCAAGAAATGTCCCTTCTCTTTACCTAAAATTTCTTACCATTGAAACAGGGATAGTTTATTCTATTTCATAATACGTATGTGTATATATGTATATAACATTTTATCTTCAGCATTTCTTCAAGTTATTAGGTATCTCCCTATAATATCAATATGAAGTTTGAGGGCTGCATTTTTCCACTTCTGTCACTATACCAACATGTATTGAACCAATACTCTTAGAGTATATCAAATTGTTTCTAACTTTCTACTATTACAAACAATGTGGTAAGTCACAAGCCCATTGAGTCAGTGCCTGCAAAGTCATGCTTCTGCCAATGGTTCAACTGTAGGATCCTGCCTTGGATCTTCCAGGTTCTGGTGGCTCCTGACATTCCTTGGCTGGTGGCGGCATTGCTCCAATGCCTGCCTCTGTCTTCACATGGCCTCCTTCCTTGGGTGTCTTTGTATCTTCTTTCCTGTCTCTTACAAGGACACTTGTCATTGGATTTAGGTCCCACCCTAATCCAGGATGATCTCACCTCAAGCTCCTCATCTTAATTACATCTGCAAAGATCTCATTTCCAAATAAGGTCACACTCACAGGTTCCAGGGGCTAGGACTGGACATACCCCTTAGGGGAACAGTCTTCAGTCCATTATGCCTCCAGAGCAGGGCTCCTTTGACATTCCCCATGGAGTCAATTCACTTCAGTTCCATTAGCTGAATGGTGAGTGCTACTGTCCCCACTATTTGGTTGCTCTTGGCAAACAAGAAACCAAATAGTAATGGCTACAGCTAAATGAAGGAATTATTTGTCTTGTTTCTATAACATTAGGTGAAGAGTTTCCCTTTTTTCATTTGCAATAAACATTTGTTGCTATGCATAAGACAGTCTACTGGCTTAGGGTGAGCAGGGGGCAGAGAGAAGCAAGTGTCACATGTTGAACACACAATGCCCCCATAAAAAATCTCCATTAAAAACCTCAGATTCTAAGAAGGAAAAAATGACAAAATAAAATGATTTCAATATAAAATGAGTGTTGATGAGAAATATAAGCCAAACTTCCTAGGGCATCTAAGAAAGTAGTGTGCTATTCTACCTGGGAAAAACCAGGAGGAAGGAGACATTGGACCTGGACAAGGAGAGATGATCATTGGTCCATCCAGTGGCTCAGGAGGGAAGGGCATTTCAGGCAGAGGAAACAGTGTGTTCTGGGCATAGACTCAGAAGTGTACATGGGGAGTTTCTTGGGAAGGAGGGATGCCCAACATAGCCAAAGCGCAAGGCAGCAGTAGGCCATATGCAGAGTATCCCAATTAGAAAGTCTTATTAAAAGAAAAAAAGGTAAATTTGTATATAACACAAAATAAGGTATGGTTCAGAGCACACACACACACACACACACACACACACACACACACACTGCAGATCTCCCCCTCAGTAAAGGCCAAGCATAAAAGGGTACCGCATAATTCCATTTAAGTGACGTTTCTAGAACAACCAAAATCTATAGTGATTTTTAAAAAACAGGTCAGTGCTTATCTGGGGAAGAGTGTTCAGGGAGGTTGCAGGTAAAAGGACAGGAAGGATTGGTCTGGGGTGACAGAAATGTTCTATGTTTTAATTGCAGTGATGGTTACCCAGGTATATACACTTGTCAAAACTCACAAACAGTCCCCTGAGGTGTGTGGATTTCATTGCAAATTTATACCTCAATAAAGACGATTTTTTAAATAAATAACTAAAAATGTAGGAAGAAAAGGGAATATTCACTTAGAATAAGAAATCACAACTAATTGTAAATTTTATAAATAAAAAGCTGACAAATGCCAGAAACATCTCAGCCATTCAGGTAAATAGCCATGTTATGCATTAATTAACTGCCGAAATACTTCTATAATATTGTTTTTCCTGCTTTGCCTTCATTCTCTTTGTCTCCTCCCATGTCAATTATATCATAATACAGTTTTTAATATTAGTGATTGATCAGTTTGACTGTTGTTACTGGTAATTTAGAAAATGTCTCTCCACTTCCTAACTTTTTGTTTATATCCTCTATATGTTTTAAGGATTGTCACAAAGTTTGGCAAAGCTTCCATCAAATTTTTTTCATATTTGAGCTCTGGAACTTGTAAGGATTTTTCCACAGACTAGCTTCCAGCTCCGTATATTTAAAATGTGGTTTCTCCGCCATACTTTGGGCACCACAGAACACGTTCACATTATGAAACAGCCTCTGGCCCCAAACCTTCACTTCACAACATTCACACATCACATGTGAGTCGGCACAGTAGGTGGTCCCAGTGTCCTTGGAAGTAGATTTCTACACTGGGATGATTAGCAATTACTTACCTGTATATGGAAGCGACTGCAAATCACACAACTATAAATCTAAACTAAGTGTATCCCCAACTCAATTTCTTCTTAGCCAGATTCCCAAAGTCCTTGGGACCACTCTGACAGTATAGAAGAGACAGAGAAATGGTACAAATATCAGAGAAGAAGAGAGAGTGGCCTTAACCTAGGTCAGTTTAAATATCTTATTTTTGCAAATTTTGCAGAACCACACGGCCATGGGAATTCCTTGCTAGGACCACTAGCAAGGACTCTAAAGCTGAAACCTCAGGGCCTGCTCAGTGAAGCTGCCTCAGGGCAATGAGTGCAGTGGGTAATTTTGGGAAAGTGGTCAGCACCAGATCTGGAGAGCTTTTAGTCAGGTGCTGAAATACAGCCTTTAACCTCCAGGCAGAGGGGCTCTGTGACAGCTTTTCCTTTTATGAAGGGAACAGAATCACTTTGGTTTGGCAGGGGAATTCTGGCAGCCATGGAAAGGGTTGTTTCAGGGTTTATTGTCCATTTGTTTTAGTTTCTTCTTTTAACTCACAGCATTTCTCATGCAACCCCCCTCAAAAAAAAAAAAAAAAAACTTACCTTTTCTATGTGTCTTTAAGCTAAGAAAACTATATTAAATACATTAAAGATAATTTTGGAAAAAAAAAAAAAAGCCTAGCACTCCCCACTACCATGGCCAACCAATTCCATCAAGCTAAACTTGTTTAAGTCACTTAATCATTTAAGTGAACAAAGTGGTTCAGAACATAGACTACTAAGTAAAATACCTCAGTTCAAAATTTGACACCACGGCTTCCTAACTCTGTGACCGTAGGCAAATTATCTAAGCTCTGCAACCTCAGTTTCCTCATCTGTAAAACAAAATGAAAAATACTAGAAGCTAACAAGTATAGTCACTGTACAGATAAAGTGAGCTGATTCACTGGGAGCACAGGGCACCATTTCTGACTCAAACAATGTTAGCAATGATGAATATCTTTGTCTACCCCCTTCCCCAAGCAGATATGTTTTCTTGAGTTCCCACCTCTGCAGGCTCTTTTTCATGATTCTTTATCATTATGGCAACCATTAAAATACTCAGAGCCAAGCTAAACATTCAACTGAAAACAGCTAGTTGAATGCTTTGTGTGGCCCGTTTCCTGAGAGCGCTTGAGGGGAGTCATAGGGTGTCAGAGAAATTTCTGTGTCCCACTCAGAAGGGACACAGAAAGAGGGAAGCCAGGACAAACTGCATTAGTCAGGACGCTGGGTTTCAGGAGACAAAAGCCCAACTCAAACATATTTAAGAACAAAGATACAAGATTGGCCAAGTGCAGCGGCTCATGTCAGCAATCCCAGCACTTTGGGAGGCCAAGGCAGGCTGATCACTTCAGGTCAAGAGATCTAGACCAGCCTGCCCAACATATCAAAACCCCGTCTCTACTAAAAATACAAAAATTAGTGGTGGAGGGCGCCTGTAGCTCTAGCTACTCAGGAGGCTGAGCAGGAGAATCGCTTGAACCCTGGAGGCAGAGGTTGCAGTAAGCTGAGATCGCGCCACTGCTCTCCAGCCTGGGTGACAGTGAGACTCTGTCTGAGAAAAAATAAAAAATAAGACAATATTGCCTCCTACTACAGAAGGGAAATGGTGCTGCAGGCTCATCTGGATCCAGGAGATCAAATAATATTGTCAGGCATCTCCACTTTCTCTCAGCTTTGTGTGCTTCTGTGTGTTTCCTCATTTTCTCCTTTAGCTATTGTGATGCAGAAGGTGGTGGGCATGTCCCCAGAAAACCCCAGGCTGACATCACTGGCGTTTAGCAAACCCAGAGGAAGAGGGAGTATCCATATAGCCCAACTGAGGGAATAGCTTGTCAGCTTGCCTACTGTGGCCACAGATGGTAGGATTTTGTCCTTGGCAACCTCACCAGAACCCCAAGAAGGGGAGGGTGAGGTGATACTCCCAAGAGAAAGGGTAAAGGGATGCAAAGCAGACAGATAGATGCCACTTCACAAGTGTTCTCAAGGCCAAGGTCAGTCATTGCATCTTCAATCACAATTTCCATTTCAAGACTCATTTCCCATCCACAGGATGTGGCTTCTTGGAGGCCTCAAATGATGGGAGCTTGTCACCCACACGTTCTCTGCAGCAAGCCACCACCTGCTTTTTCCCAAGAGGCAACCTGGCTCAGAGGCCTGGGCCGTGGCTGTGGACGCCCAGTCAGGCACTGGGCGTTCTTGGGCCTGGGCGGTTGCTGAGTCAAAGGGCTGTGGGCCAAGGCTTAGGCTGCCTATCCTGCTCCCCTCAGATGGGCGGTACAAAATGCTCTCCAGGTGGTACAGGGCTACTGTGCCACTTTAATTGGAGATGGTGATGGTGAAACCTTCAGGGAAAATTCAGGTGCCAAATGCCTCTCCTAGAGGTGCATTAAAAGCATCTGGTAGTTGACCAAC